GAAGGTTGAATATTGTTAAGATGTCAATTCTCCCTAACAAATGTATAAATTCAATGCAATTCTGATTAAAAAAATTTTTTTTGCAGAATTGTTTGCAGAACTAAACAAGTTGATGGTAAAATTTACAATGGAGAGATAAAAGAACTAAAAGAACAAAAGAAAAAGATTGAAAAACATTGAAGGTATAATATTACTCACTGTAAGCTTATTATTAGTTCCCTGGTAGCTCAGACAGTAAAGCGTCTGCCTACAATGTGGGTAGACCCGGTTCGATCCCTGGGTCAGGAAGATCCTCTGGAGAAGGAAATGGCAACCCACTCCAGTAATCTTGACTGGAAAATCCCATGGACAGAGGATCACGGTAGGCTACAGTCCATGGGTTCACAAAGAGTCGGACATGACTGAGCAACTTCACTTTCACTTTCATAAGCTTATTATTTACGAAGCTAAAGTAATTAAGTGTGGTATTGGTAAAGGATAGAGAGTTCAGAAATAGCAAATCAATGGAGACAAAATAGCTTTTATGACAAGGGTATAGGAGTTAATGGATATCCATATTTCCCCCATTTTTATCTCAGTCCATATAATGTGCAAAAATTAACTTAAATTCAGTCATAGGCCTAAATACAAAACCTAGAACCATAAACTTCTAGGAGAGCTTTTATGTGGGGCAGGCAAAGATTTCTTAGCTATGATGCCAAAAGTAAAATCCATAGGAAAAAAAACTGATAAGTTAGACTTCATCAAAATTAAATCTCTGATCTACAAAGAACATTCTTAAGAGATTAAAAGTACAAGCCTGAGAGAAAATATTTGTATACTGTATATCTGATAAAAGAGTTATATCAGAACATATAAAGAACTTGAAAAAATTTGAATAGTTAACTCACCAAATGGCAAATAAGCCCCCCAAAATATGTTCAATTCATTAGTTATTTGGCACATGCAAATTAAATACCTAATTGAATATCACTATACACCTATTAGAATGGCTAAAGCAAAATACATATGTATTGATATGTATTTAAAATATATATAAATATATATACATACTATATCAATATACACATATGTATGGGTTTTCCTGGTGACTCAGTGGTAAAGAATCTGCCGGCAATGCAGGAGATGCAGAAGACTCAAGTTAGATCCCTGGGTGGGGAAGATCCCCTGGAGGAGATCATGGCAACCCACTCAGTATTCTTGCAGGAAAATCCCATGGACAGAGGAGCCTGGTAGACTACAGTCTACAGTGTTGCAAAGAGTCAGACACAACTGAAGTGACTGAGCGTGCATGCACACATATGAATGCTGCTACTGCTAAGTTACTTCAGTCATGTCCGACTCTGTGCGACCCCATTGATGGCAGCCCATCGGGCTCCCCTGTCCCTGGGATTCTCCAGGCAAGAGCACTGGAGTGGGTTGCCATTTCCTTCTCCAATGCATGAAAGTGAAAAGTGAAAGTGAAGTCACTCAGTTGTGTCTGACTCTTAGCGACCCCGTGGACCGCAGCCTACCAGCCTCCTCCGTCCATGGGATTTTCCAGGCAAGAGTACTGGAGTGGGGTGCCATTGCCTTCTCCGACACATATTTATACATGTGTTCAAATACACTTATATATACTAAGTCCTGGCATGGATCCGATAACCAGATGGTGAAAGTAAAAAATAATATAACTACTTTTCAAAATAGTTTGATAATTTCCTATAAAGTTAAACTTATCATATAATACAGTAATCCTACTATCTGGTAATAGCCAAATGCAACAAAAATTTCTATTCACACAAGAATCTATATGAGAATGCCTATAGTAGCTTTATTCATAATTGCCAAAAACTGAAAAAATTCCAAATACCCTGCAAAAAAATAAACTAAGGTACATCTATACAGTGGAATAATAGCCAGTTAAAAAAATGAAAGAAACTATAACAGATAAATCTCAAATGAATTATGCTACATGAAAGTAGCCAGGCTCAAAAGGCTACATATTCAATGATTCCATATATGCTCTGGAATAAACAAAACGATAGGAACAGAGAACAGATCTGTGCTTCCCAGGGCCCAGGAGACAAGAGTTGACTACTGGTGGGATAATCTTATTGGATGATGGAATAGTTCTAAATCTTGATTTGTGATTACCCAATTGTGAAAATTTATAGAGCTGGAAAATCCCACGGACGGAGGAGCCTGGTGGGCTGTAGTCCATGGGGTCTCTAAGAGTCAGACATGACTGAGTGACTTCACTTTCACTTTTCACTTACATGCATTGGAGAAGGAAATGGCAACCCACTCCAGTGTTCTTGCCTGGAGAATCCCAGGGATGGGGGATCCTGGTGGGCTGCCGTCAATGGGGTCGCACAGAGTCGGGCACAACTGAAGTGACTTAGCAGCAGCAACAGCATAGAGCTAGGCACTAAAAAGGGTATATTTTACTGAATGTAAAGTATACCTTATTTCAAGGTGAAAAAAAGGAACAAACTGTGAAGTATAAATGCAGAGACTCTTTTTACTTTTTACTGTCTTCCCCATTTTCCAGTTATCACCAAATTGCCATATAGATCCATAGGCCTGTTAAATCATTCAAAAATGGAGCTAATAATAGAACCTAACACATGCCTGCCTTCTAAGTCACTTGAGTCATGTCCAACTCTTTGCAACCCAATGGACTGTAGCCTGCCAGGCTCCTCTCTATCCATGGGATTCTCCAGGCAAGAATGCTGAACTGGATTGCCATTTCCTCCTCCAGGGGATCTTCCTGACCCAGGGATCAATCCCATGTAGCAGGCAGGTTCTTTACCACTAGTGCCACCTGGGAAGCCTACATAACACCTAATGAGTAATAAATGAATTAAGATAGATAAAGTGTTTAGAGTCACGCTGTAAATATAAGCATTTAGTAAATGCTCCCTGCTGGTTCTACTACTACCAAGAAGATTATTTTGCTATCTTTGTTACTGATGCTACATAAACTACCCTTTCCAAGATTTTACATGTACACCTTGTGGCTCAGCTGGTAAAGAATCCACCTGCAATGAGGAAGACCTGGGTTTGATCCCTGGGTTGGGGCGATCCCCTGGAGAAGGGAAAGGCTACATACTCCAGTGTTCTGGCCTGGAGAATTCCATGGACCATACAGTCCATGGGATTACAGAGTCGGGCACGACTGAGCAACTTTCACTTTCACTGCTTAAATTCATGTCATGGCAGCAAATGACAAATGATTGAGGAGAAAGTGAATGGGCAAATATGGTCTCCTTCCCCCTGAATATTTTCTTTCCTGATTTCTAGCATATTACTTATATCATCCTCTTCTATTACATTATGAAGTGAAGTGAAGTAAAAGTCACTCAGTTGTGTCACTCTTTGAGACCCCATGGACTGTACAGGCCAGAATACTGGAGTGGGCAGTCTTTCCCTTCTCCAGGGGATCGTCCCAATCCAGGGATCAAACCCAGGTCTCTCGCGTTGCAGGAGGATTCTTTACCAGCTGGGCCACAAGGGAAGCCCATTACATTATGAGCTCAAATATATCTCTATTTACTCAATCCAGAAGTTGTGTCAAGATAGGCAGATATTATTTGGTCTCTTTCTCTAAAATACTTACAATTTCAGATCACCTTTGTTCCTCCATAGGTGATCTTAGAAATTAATGATTTATGAAATTAAAGTTTGTAAATAGGAGAAGTGAAAATAACAAGTGATCTTCACTTCTTTGTCAAACTAAGGTCAATATTAGGCCAAGCAACCAGAACAATCTATCATTAGACTGTACTCCCTTGCTCCTCTTTTAATGGAGTAGAATTTTCAGGATGAATTATTTGAAACAAAAATCACAAAAATTTCCAATAGATTAACTTGAAAAAATTGAGATGAATGAAGGATAAAAATAGTGATATAATCTAAGTTAGCTGTTATAACATGGGGGCCTCTTTTTCAATCTTTTATTTTTCAATGTTTCCTTATATGGAGTCTTTTCCATTCTTTCTGCCTACTATCACTTCTCCCCTGCCTTTTACTCTGTAGGACACATAATTTGGTTCATCCTTTAACTTCTTCCATAGAAGGGTTGACCTGTATGATTCCCCCAATTCCTCATCACCTGCTACATTTGACTGGCACACAAGAGTGTGCCCAATCAATTCTAGGGCAGTTGAAAACACTTTTCTGGGAATTTTGAATTGGGCTGGCCCCTAGGAAATATAAATATAAATTTGACAGCAGTGAATCAGCTTTAGAAAACTCGTCTGCAAAATGTAAAAATAAATAGAGAGCTATAGAAAATATAGATAAGAAAAAGAGGGTGAAAATATTCCCTGGGTTCTTGATGGCTCTCCATTTCTTACTTCTAATTCCTTCCTATAGTTTGGCTTCATTTTTGTCCTTGGGTTTCATGACAAAAAGAAATTTAGTATTTTTCCTTTAGTGAGGTCAAGATGGTTTCTGTTTCTTGCACCTACCAAATTAGAATAATATACCCTTTATCATTTTTAAACTATGGGTCTGTATCTCATGCCTGAAGATCTACTAGCCCAGTCCACTAGCTCAATATTCACACCTTCTGGAATTTTATTTTCCTCCTTTCCTCTAGGTATTTACAGTAGCATATAAACTAGGCTACCACATAGCACTTAATACTAGAGCCAACAGTGAAATAATATATTATATTTTAAAGTTAATTATTCCATTTCATTAAAATTAATTGGTACCTGAATTTCTCAATACTACAAATTTTAAGTTCTAGAAAATGAGTCTACTTTAAATAATATAAGCTATGTATATCAGAACCATTCATCTATAATAAATTGCTAAAACACAGGAAGCTCAGTTAAATTTGAGTTTCAGGTGGATCACTAAATAACTTTTAGTAAAATGTATGTCCCAAATATTCCAGGAGACATTAACACGAGATAGCATAATTTTTAACATGATAAATGGATAAATTCATTTTATAAACTTGGCAATCTATACCCATGAGTAAAATAATTAATTTAGATTGCTCTTACCTGTATTTTTTGTAATGTTTTCTCTGGGAATATCGATCAACCAGTAAACCCGATCACTGTACTTGGGTAGAGGAGATGTGAGAAAACAGTGTCTTACAATGTTGTTAGCAACACTTATTTTGGCATAGTCTACCACGTATTTAAAAACTAAAATTAAACAAACACACCCAATGCACATAGCCTTTACCCAGAATTTTCACTCCTGGGAATTTAGCCTACATTATAGTCACATATGTGTGAAATGTGTTCAAGGATATTTTCATCATTACTTTTCATAGTATTAGAAGATTGAAAATAACTGAAAAATAGCTAAAGTATTCATTACATAAAGTTATATGTAAGAATACAGTCACAAAATGGAACATGATACAGCCAAACTCAGGTAGCATAAAGCTGAAACATAACTGGCTTACGTGTCAGAGGACAGAGCCTGCTGCTGACAGAAAATTTAGGAATTTAAGAGAAAAATACCAGGAGCAAGGGAACTGCAAAATATTGATCTAAGAGTTAAATACGAATGTGAGAGTTTGACCATAAAGAAGTCTTAGCACAGAAGAATTGATGCTTTCAAACTGTGATGCCGCAGAAGACTCTTGAGAGTCTGTTGAACAGCAAGGAGATCAAAACAGTAAATCCAAAAGAAAATCAACCCTGAATATTCATTGGAAGGACTGGTGCTGAAGCTGAAGCTCCAATATTTCAGCCACCTGATGGGAAGAACCGACTCACTGGAAAAATACACAGATTCTGGGAAAGACTGAGGGCAAGAGGAGAAGGGAGTGACAAAGAATGAAATGGTTGGATGGCATCACTGACTCAGTGGACATGAGTTTGAGCAAACTCTGGGAGATGGTGAAGGACAGGGAAGCCTGGCATGCTGCAGTGCATGGTGTCACAAAGAGGAGGACATGACTAAGCAACTAAACAACAACAAGAGTTAAATATAAATTCTTTCCAAATTCTTGGGCAACACAAGTGCAGGGGGGATCCTCAGAAGGCCATGTTAAAAAAAAAAATCAGCAGTGGAAACTAAAAGAACTAAATAGACATATTAGCTGCTGAAACCATGGGTAAGACCATTTGCAATCTGTGCCAGGGCAATTAATAGCATTTTAGACCACCACCAACAAAAAAACAGCAAATTCTTATAAGAACATAGCAGAATCCAGAGTTGCTACAGCTTACTATTATCAATGTCACTTTTCCACCAAAAATAACAGGATATGAAAAGAAATAGAAATGTGTAACTAATGTTCAGGTAAAAAAAAGATAAACCATAAACTGACGCAGAATGAGTTCAGATACAGACGAAGACTTCAAAGAAGCTATTATAAATATGCAAAGAGATTTAAGAAAAATTTGTTAATGAGGGAATGGATAGGAAATCCAGTACTGAAATGAAAAATAAAATCATAAAACCAAGTGGAAATAATGAGGTTGAAAACTGTAACAGATAAAATATTAACTGGGTGTGTGTTAGTCACTCAGTCATGTCTGACACTTTGCAACCCCATGGACTGTAGACCACCAGGCTCCTCTGTCCAGTGGATTTTCCAGGAAAGAGTAATGGAGTGGGTAGCCACTCCCTTCTCCAGGGGATCTTGCCAACCCAGGGATCAAACCCGGTCTCCTGCATTGCAGGCAGATTCTTTACCATCTGAGCCATCAGGGAAGTCCTGTCAGTTTTCAGATACTATAAAAATTCAGTTGTTGTTGAGGAGGAAACTGAGGTACACTGACCTCCCCCCACCCCAGGGCTCTATTTGGCAGTCCATGGTCTAGCCTACACCCTCCTACTCTCTGTGGAATGAGTTGCATGCAAAGACTTTTGCTACGGGGGAGGGTCTCAGAAGCCCTCCTGGTGACCTGTGTTGGGGGGAGCCTGGGCAGGGTCAAGGGCTGTGGATGTGGGAGCAGGAGGAAGGGTGTGGTTGGAAATGGCAAAAGAAAGAATAAGTGAACTTAAATATATAACAACTGAGATTATTCAGTCTGAAATAGGGGTTAAATGATTAAAGGAAAATAGATGGAGCTATAGAGATCTGTGGGTTGATAAAACATTTTCCAAAATGTGCCAAATTGAGCTTTTGGTTCAAGATGGTGGAGTAGAAGGGCATGTCCTCATCTCCTCCTGTGAGAGCACCAAAATTGCAACTAGCTATTGAACAACCATCAATAGGAGGACACTGGAACCCACCAAAAAACATACCCCATGTCCAAAGAAAAAGAAGCTGCAACAAGATGGTGAAAGTGAAAGTGAAGTCGCTCAGTCATGTCCGACTCTTTGCGACCCCATGGACTGTAGCCTACCAGGCTCCTCCGTCCATGGGATTTTCCAGGCAAGAGTACGGGAGTGGGTTGCCATTTCTGTCTCCAGGAGATCTTCCCAACCCAGGGATTGAACCTGAGTCTCCCGCGTTGTAGGCAGACACTTTACCATCTGAGACACCAGCTAGGAGGTGTGCAATCATGGTAAAATCAAATCCCACACATGCCAGGTGGGTGATCCACAGACTAAAGAACAATAATACCAAAGAAGTTCTCACAGTATTGTGAAGGTTCTGAACCCCACTGTTGTGAAGGCTGGGAAGCCTGACAATCTGACAGAAGGACTGAGAATCCCCAGTAATCTGGCCTTGAGGGCCAGTGGGGTTTGACTACAGGCCTTCCAGAGGACTGGGGGAAACAGGGATTCCAGTCTTTGAGGGCACAAACAAAATTTTGACACAGCAAGACCCAGAGGAGAGGAGCAGTGACCCCATAGGAGACTGAACCAAAACTACTTCCTAGTGTTGGAGGGCCTCCTGTAAAGGCCTGGGTCAGCAGGGGCTCACCACAGGGATGGGGGCACTGAAAGGTCTCCCTTGGCATAAACCCTCTTGGAGTTCACCATTAACCCTACCATAGAGCCTACAGACCCCAGGGCTGGGTCACTTCAGGCCAAACAACTACCAGGGAGGGAGTGCAACCCCACCTATTAGCAGATAATTGGATTAAAACTACTGAGCAAGGCCCTGCCCACCAGAGCAAGACCCAGTATTTCCCAGTCCCTCCCATCAAGAAGCTTACACAAGCCTCTTAGCCTCATCCATTAGAGGGCCGACAGAAGAAGCAGAAGAAGCATAGTCTTACAGCAGCTGAAACAAAAACCATATCACAGAAAGTTAATCACTATGACAAAGCAGAAAGTTTTGTCGAAAATGAAGGGATAAGATAAAATCCCAGAAAAACAACTAGATGAAATAGAGACAGGCAACCTTCCAGAAAAAGAATTCAGAATAATGATAGTGAAGATGATCCAGGATCTTGGGAAAAGAATGGAGCCAAAGTTCGAGAAGATGCAAGAAATGTTACCAAAGGCCTAAAAGAACTAAAGAACAGACAAAGAAATGAATAATACGTTAGAAAGAATCCATAGCAGAATAACTGAGGCAGAAGAATGGATAAATGACCTGAAGGACAAAATGGTGGAAATCAGTGCCATGGAACAGAATATAGAAAAAAGAATGAAAACAGCCTAAGAGACCTCTGATAACATTAAATGCACCAACATTCGCATTATAGGGCTCCCAGAAGGAGAAGAGAGAGAGAAAGTACCTGAGAAAATATCTGAAGAGATAATACCTGAAAACTTCCCTAACATGGGAAAGGAAATTAGTCAACCAATCCCAGGAAACACAGAGAGTCCCAGCAAGGATAAACCCAAGGAGGAACAAACCAAAACACATAGTAATCAAACTGACAAAAATTAAATACAGAGATAAAATATTAAAAGCAACAGGGAAAAATGACAAATATTTTATTTGTCAAGGGAACTCTCATCAGGTTATCAGCTGATTTCTCAACAGAAACTCTACAAGCCAGAAGGGAATGACATGATATATTTAAAGTGATGAAAGGGAAGAACCTATAACCGCAAATACTCTACCCAGCAAGACTCTCCTTCAGATTTTATCGAGAAATCAAAAGTTTTCCAGCTAAGCAAAAGTTAAGAGAATTCAGCACCACCAAACCAGCTTTACAACAAATGCTAAAAAAGCTTCTCCAGGCAGGAAGTACAAGAGAAGGAAAAGATCTACAGAAAATAAACCCAAAACAATTAAGAAGACAGTAATAGGATCATACACATTGATAATTACCTGAAATGTAAATGGATTAAATGCACAAACCAAAAGACATAGACTGGCTGGGTGGATGAAAACATGTGCATGTATCCACTTCCACTTACCACATCATTCTACTTGACAATCCCCAGATTGTACAAAGTTATTTTATATTGTTAAGTTAATCATGTTCCCATTATGGCTTGCAATTGGAATAATCTTTTATTTTTTGTCTGGTTGTTGATTGTGAAAACTGATAAACATCTTTTACTATTGTGAAAAAAAAAAAAGCCCATTTGGAGTCCCAGGCAGGAAAAGAGAGAAAGGGGCAGAACATTTCTTTGGAGAAGTAGTGGCTGAAAACTTCGGAAATTTGGTAAACTTACAATCCAAATAGCCTAGCGAATCTCAATTAGAGTAAATACAAAGAGAACATCTTAAAAGCACTAACAGGAAAATGCCACATTACATACAGGGGACAATAACAAAATTAACAGTTGACTTCTCTTTCAGGATAAATGATGTCAGGTGACACATTCAAAATGCAGAATGAAATATTCAAAATGCTTAAAGCAAATGAAATCACTCAGAAATTCTACATCTTACAAAATAATCTTTCAAAAATTAGAGTGACCACTAAAAACCTACTAGAATTTATAAGTGAGTTCAGTATGTTTTCAGGATATCAGATACAACAATTAGTTGTATTTTTTATATACTTGCAAAGAACAATCTGGAAATGAGAATAAGAAAGCAATTCTCTTTACAACAGCATCAAAAAGAATGAAATATTAGAAATAAATTTAACAAAAGAAGTGCAAAACTTATACTCTGAAAACAACAAAACATTGTTGAAAGAAATTCAAGAAAACCTAAATAAATGGAAAGAATCCAGCTTGTTCATCTGGAAGTTCTTGGTTCATATACTGTTGAAGCCTAACTTGAAGGATTTTGAGCATTACCTTGCTAGGATGTGAAATGAATGCAACTGTGTGGTGGTTTGAACATTCTTTGGCATTGCTATTCTTTGGGACTGGAATGAAAACTGACCTTTTCCAGTCCTGTGGCCACTGCTGAGCTTTCCAAGTTTGCTGACATACTGAGTGCAGCACTTTAACAGCATCATCTTTTAGGATTTGAAATAGCTCAGCTGGAATTCCATCACCTCCACTACTTTTGTTTGTAGTGTTGCTTCCTAAGGTTCACTTGACTTCACACTCCAAGATGTCTGGCTCTAAGTGAGTGACCACATCATCATGGTTATTTGGGTCATTAAAACCTTTTTTGTATAGTTCTTCTGTGTATTCTTGCCGTCTCTTCTTAATCTATTCTGTTTCAGTTAGGTCCTTGTCATTTCTGTCCTTTATCATGCCCATCCTTGTATGAAATGTCCCCTTGATGTATCCAATTTTCATTTTATTTCTTAAAATTTTCATTTATTTATGTTTTAACTTTTGGTTGAGCTCTGTCTTTGTTGCTGCACACAGGCTTCCTCTAGCTGTGACAAGCAGGGCCCACTCTCTAGATGTGAGGCCTCGGGTTCTCATTGTGGTGGCTTCTCTTCTTATGGAGCATGGGCTCTAGGGCCCATGGGCTTCAGCAGGTGCGACTTTAGGGGTCTAGCTGCTGCTGTTGCTGCTAAGTTGCTTCAGTCGTGTCCGATGCGTGGCGACCCCATGGCCTGCAGCCCACCAGGCTCCCCCGTCCCTGGGGTTCTCCAGGCAAGAACACTGGAGTGGGTTGCCACTGCCTTCTCCAAGGGGTCTAGAGCATAGGCTAAATAGTTGTGGGCTTAGTTGGCCTGAAGCATGTGGGATCTTTCTGAACCGAGGATTAAACCAGGGTCCCCTGCATTGGCAGGCAGATTGTTAACCACTAGACCACCAAAGAAGTCCTTCCGATTTTCTTGAAGCAGTCTCTAGTCTTTCCCATTCTACTGCTTTCCTCTATTTCTTTGCACTGTTCATTTAAGAAGGGCTTCTTATCTCTCCTTGCTATTTTCTGGAATGCTGCATTCAGTTGTGTATGGTGGTGGTTGTGGTTTAGTTGCTAAGTCATGCCTGATGCTTGCAACCCCACGGACTGCAACCTGCCAGGCTCCTCTGTCCATGGTGTTTCCTAAGCAAGAATACTGAAGTGGGTTGCCATTTCTTTCTCCAGGGGATATTCCCTGACCCAGGAATGGAACCTGGGACTCCCGCATTGCAGGCCATCTCTTTACCAACTGAACCGCCAGGGATGCCCCAGTTGGGTGTATCTTTCCCTTTCGCCATTGTCTTTCACTTCTCTTCTTTTCTTGTGTATTTGTAAAGCCTCCTCAGACAACCACTTTGCCTTCTTAGATTTCTTTTTTGGGGATGATTCTGGTCACTGCCTCCTTTACAGTGTTACAAACCTCCATCCATAGTTCTTCAGGCACTCTATCAGATCTAATCCCTTGAATCCATTCATCACCTCCACTATATAATTATAAGGGCTTTGATTTAGATCATACCTGAATAGCTTAGTGGTTTTCCCTACTTTCTTCAATTTACGTCTGAATTTGGCAATAAGGAGCTTATGATCTAAGTCACAGTTAGCTCCAGGTTTTGTTTTTGCTGACTGTCTAGATCTTCTCTCTCTTTGGGTGCAAAGAACATAATCAATCTGATTTCAGTATTGACCATCTGGTGATGTCCATGTGTAGAGTCATCACTTGGGTTATTGGAAAATGGTGTTGGCTATGACCAGTGTATATTCTTGACTAAACTCTGTTAGCCTTTGCCCTGCTTCATTTTGTACTCCAAGGCCAATCTTGCCTGCTGTTCCAGGTATCTCTTAACTTCCTACTTTTGCATTTAAATCCCCTATGATGAAAAGGACTTTTTTTTTTTTTTTTTGGTGTTAGTTCTAGATGTTGTTTTGGGTCTTTGTATGACCAGTCAACTTCAGCCTCTTTGACATCAGTGGTTGGGCCTGGACTTGAATTGCTGTGATGTTGAGTGGTTTGCCTTGGAAATGAACTGAGATCATTCTGTCATTTTTGAGATTGCGCCCAACTACTGCATTTCAGGCTCTTTTGTTGACTATGAGGGTTACTCCATTTCTTCTAAGGGGTTTTTGCCCACAGTAGTAAATATAATGATCATCTGAATTAAATTTGCCCATTCCCGTCCATTTTAGTTCACTGACTCCTAAGATGTTCACTCTTGCCATCTCATCTTGCCTGTGAACACAATGTTCACTGCTTGACACAATTTACCTTGATTAACAGACCTAACTTTCAGGTTCCTATGCAATATTGTTCTTTACAGCATCAGACTTTTCTTTCCCCACCAGACAAACCCACAACTGTGTGTCATTTCCGCTTTGGCCCAGCCACTTCATTCTTTCTGGAGCAATTCATAATTGCCCTCTGCTCTTCCCCAGTAGCATATTGGACACCTTCCAACCTAGGGGGCTTATCTTCTGGTGTCATATCTTTTTGCCTTTTCATACTGCTCATGGAGTTCTTGTGGCAAGAATATGGAGTGGTTTGGCATTTTCTGCTCCAGTAGACCACATTTTGTCAGAACTCTTCACTTTAACCCATCTTGAGTGGCCCTGCAGATCATGACTCATAGCTTCATCGAGTTATGCAAGCCTCTTTGCCATGACCAGACTGTGATCCATGAAGGAGATCATAATATAATTTGTCATTAAAAAGGATTATGTACTGATATATGCTCTCACATGATGAACCTGAAAAATATTATGATAACTGAAGGTAGCCATTCACAAAATACTGCATATTATACAGTTTCATTTATATGAAATGTTCAAATAAGCAAATCCAGAGAGACAGAAAGTACATTAGTGGTTGCTTAATACTGGGGAGTAGAAGGTGTAATGGGGAGTGACTGTCAATTGGTATGGGCTATCTTTTGGAAGAGGTGAAAGTGTTCTAATATTAGATAGTAGTGATGATTGCACTCTGTGAATATACTAAAAACCATTTAATTGTACACTTTAGGCAAATTGTATGGCATGTAAATTATATCTTAATAAAGTTGCTACCCTTCCTTCCCCCCAAAATAAAATAAAGACATTTTCAAACGCAAAAAAACATTCAGGGAATTAATTGCCTATAGACCTGCTCTGTAAGAAATGCTAAAAGTTCTTCATTGTTGAAGGAATATGACACCAGATGGCAACTTATACTTACAGAAAAGAATGAAAGCTGTGGAAATAATGAATATGTGAGTAAAAAATATGAATCTTTTTCTTTTCTTCTCTTAATTTCTTAAAAGAATATATATAAACCATATTGCCAGATCAGGTGTTTTTAAAAACACATGCTAAAAGGAACAGTATTCTTGTTAATAATATATCACAGAATAAAGTAAAATGTAATTACCAAAGTTAAATTAAAGTGGAAGATCCCTGTGTATGTACTATTTATGATTTCCAGGCTGGGAGCAAGTCCTGCTGATGTGAATACACTGAGAAACTCTTTTGTAGTAAACTCAACTTCAGATTGGAAAAAACACTCGATTTTCTTTGGGAAAGAGAAAAACAAAAACAAGTAGTGACAATTTGATGAAGGGAAGCATTTTTTACATTAATTTAAAAATGAGGAGAAATCTATGAAAAGTAGATGCTGCTAAAGATTACTATCTCTAGTAATTCCAGTCTTTAACTTCAAAAAAAATCTATTTTGAAAAGTACATTTTTCAAAAGTCAGTAAGCTATTATGCTAGTGTCATAACAGATTTCAATATATCCTATAATAATGTTTTCTGTCACAGAAATGGTCATAGAGTTATTATATTTAATAAACATAGAATCAAAGCTTAATGCTATCACATGTAGAAATTTATATTTTATTAACATCATTTTGTGTCTAAATAAAAAAGAAGCAAAATCATGTCACTGCATTTTTATTGAATATTTCCCAGTTGTGAGAAGGTAAATGAAAAGGTAGTGACCATAAATGGTGGATTTTCTTGAAAATCAATACAGATAAGATGAGCTTCATCTCATTTAGTTCTCCTAGTAGATCACTTTGGGCAAGTTACCTATCTGAATTTCAGTTTCCCTATCTATAAAATGAGGAAACATTCATTCCAGGGATATTTACTGAGCCCTTACCACGAAGCAGGCAGTGTTATAGGTGCTGGGGAAACAGAAGTGAACAAAACAGGCAAAAATCCTTAACCTAATGGAATTTGTATATTAAGGGGGTTAACCGGGAGATAACCCAAATACAAAGGTGTTATCACTTCTCCACAATTTTTTGCTGTTTGTTAAGATGGTATATGAGCTCCAAATTCTAAGCACCCCTTTGAGTTACTCATTACTGAGTTCTCCTATGGGTATGTGCATTGCATGCATAAATAAACTTTTCTCTATTTTTGGCTGTGCCCTGCAGCTTGCAGGATCTTAGTTCCCCAACCAGGGTTTGAGCCCAGGCCATGGCAGTAAAAGTGCTGAGTCCTAACCACTGGGCTGCCAGGGAATTCCCAAAGTTCATATTTATCTCCTGCTTAATCTGTCTTTTGTCAGCTTATTTTACAGGCCCCAGCCACAGAACCTAAGAGGGGAGGTTCAGTACTTCCCTATAGTACTTATCTTAAAGAAGATTAAATGTTATAATGAACATGAAAATGCTTAGAAAAATGCCTGAAACACTTTGTAAATGTTAACTATTATATCTACTAATTCCTCTTCTAGAATTGTGCTGTGATGTGCTTAATCTCTCAGTCATATCCGACTCTTCTTGACCCCATGGACTGTAGCCCACCAGGCTCCTCTGTCCATGGAATTCTCCAGGCAAGAATACTGGAGTGGGTTGCCATGCCCTCCTCCAGAGGATCTTCACAACCCAGGGATTCGACTCAGGTCTCCCACATTGAGGCGGATTCTTTACTGGCTGAGTCAGGAGGGAAGCCCCTTCTAGAACTAGCACATTTCAACTATCCAAAAACTAGGTTATAATTCACCTTCACAGAGGACAAAACTGAAGATTAGAGAGGGTAGGTAACCTGCCCTAGGCCACACAGCCCATGTATGGTAGAACCAAAATTTGACCCCAGTTCTGTAAGTCTCACTTTCTCTAGAGCCCATTTCTTTTCTAAAATATGTACTCAGAGACTCAGTTATGTCTGACTCTTTGCAACCCCATGAACTGTAGCCCACCAGGCTCTTCATCCATGGGCTTTCCCAGGCAAGAACACTGGAGTGAGTTGCCATTTCCTTCTTCACTTCCCATAATATTTAATCACAAACAGGAAAGACATGTGTGACTCAAAGGGCATGAACTTCATAAGAGCTGTAAATAAAAAATTAAATATATGTTTGGCATATCAAGAAGGAATGGGGAACTAAGTCAAAGCAGACTTTAGGATAAATGTATTTGTCCTTATGGAGCATTTTTCTTTGTTTTGTTGTATTTATCATGGATTTTTATACAATCTGTGCAACTTTCATTAACTTATGTTTTTGTTAGCATTTGCTTCATGACTATCTTAACAACATTTTATTTTGCTGTGTTTTTTAAACTTTGCCATTATTTGAATCAAAGGAATCAAATAACCCTTACCCAAAATGACAACTGCAATGTGGTACTCGTTATGAAAGGAAAAGATTCTTTCCCAAGTTCATGTGAGGAAACGTTCTTTTTCTAACAGGCTACATCTGTCAAACTTCAAGTGAACAAATCAGATTCATAAAAAATGAAGATCATTATAGCCAGTCTTTTTTAAAAAAGAGGAAGGAGGCATCTTAAAAAAAGAAAAAAAAGCAAACTACCTAGGGCGTTCAATGGCTAAATGAAATATTTCACTTGATCAAAGGAAATGAAATAGAAAGGATAGAAAGGAAAATTATTTATATCTAATTTCACCCCCTGAAGGCTGAAAATAGTAGAAGATATTTGAAAAGAGTACAATGCTATTGGTTTCACATTTTGACTTAAAAGGAGTACAAGGAATTGTAAAACACATGCTATTAGTAATGGACCTTACCAAGTCATCAGAGGAAAGATACAGTTTGATCATTTCATCCTTTGGGGGAATCCCTTTACTATCACAAGCAAAGTGTGACTCTGTATCACCTAAATAATACAAACACATATATGTATATTTTAGGTCACTAATGAAGAATTTCCATTAAAAAATATTTTTAAAAGAACAAAAATTATAATTGTATATTTTAAATTCACATCACTCTAGATAAAATTAAGTTCTCCCATTTTTTCATTTTAAAGATAAAATTGCTGTTGTTGTTTTTCAGGTGCTAAATCATGTTCAATTCATTGTGACCCCTTTGACTGCAGCATGCCACGCTTCCATGTCCTTCACTATCTACCTGAGTTTGCTCAAACTCATGTCTACTCAGTCAGTGGTGCCATCCACCACTGTCATCTCATCCTCTGTCACCCCCTTCTCCTCCTTCCCTCAATCTTTCCCGCATCAGGGTCTTTTCCAATGAGTTGGCTCTGTGCATCAGGTGGCCAAAGTATTGGAGCTTCAGCTTCAGCATCAGTCCTTCCAAGGAATATTCAGGGTTGATTTCCTTTAGGATTGACTAGTTTGATCTCCTTGCAGTCCAAGGGACTCCCCAAGGGTTTTCTCCAGCTCTAAAATGTTAAAGCTAATTTCGAAAGCTAATTTCGAAAACTAATTTCAAAAGCATCAATTTTTAGGTGCTCAGCCTCCTATTTATGGACCAACTTTCATGTCCATGCATGACACTGGAAAAATCAGAACCTTGCCGGCAAAGAGATGTTTCTGCTTTTTAATAGGCTGTCTAGCTTTGTCATGGCTTTCCTTCCAAGGAGCAAGCATCTTTTAATTTCATGGCTGCAGTGACCATCAGCAGTGATTTTGGAGCCCAGGAAAATAAAGTCTGTCACTGTTTCCACATTTTCCCCTTCTATTTGCCATGAAGTGATGGGACCTGATGCCATGATCTTAGTTTTTTTAATGTTGAGTTTTAAGCCACTTGTCTATGCTGTGTTTGGAACTGAGACTAGTTCTATACTGAGATATCTTTTCCTCAATTGAAATAGTCCCTGAATAAACTGTAGTATCACAGCTTTAAATACTGTTCAGCTCTGGTTTTCTTTGGCAGAATGAAGTTAAAGCCAGCTGCAGCAAAGTACTGAAGCCCATCAGAGGTAAGGCTAGATTAAGAGTGACTACAGACATCTTTTATAATAAGCATGGGTTTTGGTGGTATACAATGGCAAAATACTTTTTATTTTTAAAAAAATTTTTTTCCATTTATTTTTATTGGTTGGAGGCTAATTACTTTACAATATTGTAGTGGTTTTTGCCATTCATTGACATGAATCAGCCATGTATTTACATATATTTCCCATTCTGATCCCCCCTCCCACCTACCTCCCCACCCGATCCCTCTGGGTCTTCCCAGTGCGCCAGCCCTGAGCACTTGTCTCATGCATCCAACCTGGGCTGGTGATCTGTTTCACCCTTGATAATATACATGTTTCGATGCTGTTCTCTTAAAGGCAAAATACTTTTTAAAAGACTGTTTAATTTAAAGATGTTAGGAATTTTTAAAATAATTTTTGACAAAGTGTTTTAAATTTTCTGATCTTTTTGAAATGAAAAATGGCTGTCAGGAATATGTTGATAGTTTCAAAAAAGTAAATCAGGACTCAATATGTCCTTTCAAACTAAAGGTTCATTTATTTGAACAAGGAACATGAAATCAAATACTTTTAAAAGTGCATGCTGTGGAGAGGGCATTTTGAATATAGGTAGTAGGAAATATTTACCTTATTATGTGATTTTGTTGCAGGAAATCTCATAAATATACCACCTATAATTAATGTCACATCTATAATACTCCAGATAATTTGAAAATGGAATTTTTACTTAATTTAAATATTTCAAATGAAATTTCAATAAAGTTTGAAACTATTTAAATGCAAAAAATCTGATGTACAGAAAGATGTAAGCTTGCTAAAATTTTCTCAATAAAAACCTTTACAAAGTTGAAAGATGGGCAGTCCAGATTTGATGCATGATACAGGATGCTCAGGGCTGGTGCACTGGGATGACCCAGAGGGATGGGATAGGGAAGGAGTTGGGAGGGGGGTTCAGGATGGGAAACACACGTACACCCATGGTGGATTCAAGTCAATGTATGGCAAAACCAATACAATGTTATAAAGTAAAATAAATAAATAATTTAAATTAAAAAAAAGAAAGGTGAGATTGAAAAATCACTTATCCTTGTGCTGTCTTTGTGGGATACTCTTCCACATGCCTGCATAGACATTTTGGGGACCCATATATATTGCTATCTTTCCTGCAGTGTTTTCTCTGACTTCATCCTGTGCCCAGTTGGAAGTATATACTCTTCTTTGAAGTCTCATAAGTTTGCCAGTGACTTTGCAATCTTAGTTTATATCCATATTTATGTAATATATTCTCTAGTAGATATAGGAAATAGAACTGATTCACTCCACAACTCATCCAATTCTGCAACACATCCATGTGTAGAAGGGAGCCTGGAGTCTCTCCATCCACTCAGTCAACAATTTTTTTGAACATTTACTGTGTTCTGGTAGATCTAGTTTCAGATACTATAGAAGCTATGCAATCTGCACAAATAGAGGTGGATTTGTCTTATTCCTTTTATAAAATTTTACACCATGAAAATCTTATTTTTCAATTTGATCCATGTATTAATTTCAGAAGGTTCTCAGATTATTAGACTATAATTCAGTTTACAATTCATCTTACATGTAACCATTCAAAGCGGAAATATAAAAAAGATCTATACAAATAATTCAAGCTTTGTAAATATGAAATGCTCCTTAAAATTTAAATATTTTGTATGACTTACAAGTAATGAAATACTATAGCTAAAGAAAAGTCCCAATGTGCACAATGATATTATTCAAAACCTCTACTACAATAGATAGTACCCAGGAAAAACTGGAAATAAGGTAAAGAAGAAGTGCTAAAAGAAAAAACTGTTAGTGTTAGTGAGGAAAGGATATAAAGGGGAACTCCTGAGGAGATTTTCTCTATTTTACAGAGTAAGAGTCTGAAACCTACCTTTATTATATGTTATTCCTGATGAAAAGTCAAACATGTTCAAAAGTAAAATCAGAACATATAAATGTGGCGATTCCATCTGTTAGAAGAAACAAGAATTGTTTCCATTCATTTACTCTGAACATACTTTTTAGTTCCTTTTGCTATAAACAACAGCATAGTAAAGAAAATATCTCTCTTCTGAATTAAAAATGTTTATCATTATGTGATAAAAGCAGGAAACAATGGATTAAACTCTACACTTAACTCCTTAGTTGGTAAGAAGGACATTTATAAATATAATTATTGTAAACTAAAGAGCTGTGGCTCAGGTTTTTCTGCAATCCATGTAACTGCTAGAGAGGCATGATTAATTCTACAGCTGTGTGAAACACAACCTGACTTGCTAAAGACTCTGGGGATGATATAGTTGTACCTTGATCTAAGATTCTGACTGCAATGCTCTTGAAAGAGACAACCCACGTGACTCCTAAGCATCCCTGCACATCCTTGCTGGGTACCAGGAATGCAAGGCCCTTTTCTCAGGGTTGTGTTTGCAGCAAACAACCTTGAAGGATGAGGTAACATCTTTCCTGGACAAGCACAGGCTTGTTTCCATGAAGAATCTCCCAGATTTGGTGTTTCTCTGCAATGCATACCACTGTTTGTGTTAGCAAGTATCTGTTATGGGCCAAACTGTTTCCCACCCACCAAATTCATATGCTGAAGTCCCAAATCCCAAATATATCAGAATGTAGTCATATCTGGAGATGGGTGTCTTTACAGAAGTAATTAAGCTAAAATGAAATGATTAGGGTAGGCTCTAATCCAACATGACTGGTGTCTTTATAAGAAGGGAAAATTTTGGACACATGCTCATACAGAGGGAAGATGATGTGAAGACACAGGGAGAAGGCAGCCATCCACAAGCCAAGGTGAGAGGCCTGGAGCAGTTCCTTCTTTGTGGCACTCAAAGGAAACCAACTCTGCTAACGCTTTGATGTTGAAACTAAACAGGACCCTTTGGGACCTTCTTGCTTTGTTTGGGACCCTATGTGCCCCCCACTTTTTGAAGTAGAAGAGGGTTCTCCTGAAGTTTGCACGTTTCTCCTGAGTCTCTAAAGGCTGGCTCAAGAGTTAAAGATCAGGAAAGTGTGATCATGAAAAAAAAAAAAAGAATAGCTGTTGGGTCAGGAAACAGGTAATGATTTAAACAAAAGATTAATCAGATAGCGAAGTCAGAGGACCTTTAGTTCCTTCACTAAGATGTTTGACCACTGGAAAGTGACTTAACTTCTTCAGGTTCAGGTTCATTTTCTATTCAGTCAAATAGGGATAACACTTCAGAGGGTTGTTGTAAAAAGAACTGAATAATATACTAACACATCCAACAGCTACTTTACATAGAATAAACACTTGATAAATATTAGCTCTGAATCCATATTTTTATACATTGAAGCAACCTCTTTATCCTTATCATATCACACTCTCCTACTCATCCTTAACAGTCAAATTACCTCCACTTAATCACATTTAATGCTTACAAGTTTCATGTAATGGTCAGATATAGGGCACATATCTGGGCATTTCTATTCTCCAGCACGAAATAAATATTGGGAATTGTCCCAGAGAAGGAACCTCCCTCCCTCACCATCTGGTATTTATAGTTACTCTATTATCATGGAAGAGTGATTACACTATAAATTCATGCTATAGTAGGGCCTTTATTTCTTACTGTAATTTCCTCTTACTGGGGTGCCTAATCAGTTGCACTTATCTTTTTTATGTTTTCCCAAGCTTTCTTCCATATAAGTTGACAAAGAAGAACTCAAATTGGGAGCCGAGTTTTCACAGCTTACTGGTTTAGCAGTTCACTTAACTGGGGTAACAGCCAATCAGCTGCCATGAAGTACAGAAGCATGCTTAGAAAAACCTAAAGGACAGGCAGTTAGAATTTCCAATTAACTGTCTCTTTCAAAGAGCACCAAAGATCATTTTCTTTAAAAGTCTTCAAGACATGGAGTTTGTTCAAACCTATCATCTTTTATACAACATCCATTCAGAAACCTACAAGTGACTATCTACAAAATACTTCAGTCATCATGGGATTGAGTGCCTGAGGAGAAACAAAAATGATAAAAGGTCATACCAGCTACCTACAATGAGGTTTAAGTGAAGACAGTCTGCCAAAGAGAGCTTCATAACTGTGTCCAGAAAGAAGAATCGGACTTAATAGGGAGACCTTATTGATTAGGGTTGCTAAGTAGGAAGTTAGACATGAGCAACAAGGGGAGGCCTGGCTGAAAGGGATGCAAACTTATCCCTAAACTTCATCCCAGACACACACAGCAGAGCTCACAGATACGCTACAAAATAACTATAGAGACTTTCAACTCTTGCACATGTGTCCTAGGCACATAGTGGATACAAAAGACCACAGGGGCTTCTCCAGGAAACCTTAGGCAGTTAGGCAGTTAGGAGTCCACTAAGGGCTCATGAATATTCTACACTGAATTATAACAGATGGAATTATGGGAAGATATAAACAACACAGCCTGCTGTTATACAACTTTTAATTGTCAATCAGCCTTGAGCATATGCCCATTTTTATTCCCTTTCATTGATTGGTGGTGGGTACAAGCCCTACTTTGAACCAGACACAACCAAGAGGAGGAGACTGGAAGTATAAAACAGGGAAGCCAAGAGGGTTTGCCAGGAAGGATAAGGAGAACTCCTTTTATTAGTTGGACTAATAAAAGATCTGTATGCTAGACCTGAATGAGTTGTAACTTGTCTGTTGTTCTACACCTTTTGGTCCATTGCTTTAAGGTTTAGTTGTGACAAGATAAGAACCAACGAAGAGAAATAAACCAACCCAACACAGTAAACAGAAAAGTGAATATACAAAGCAGAAAGATAGCAATGAGTTACTTGTGTTTGAGAATCAGTAAGACAAATTGCCAACATCAGCTGGATCATCAAAAAAGCAAGAGAGTTCCAGAAAAATATCTATTTCTGCTTTATTGACTATGCCAAAGCCTTTGACTATGTGGACCACAATAAACTGTGGAAAATTCTGAAGGAGATGGGAATATCAGACCACCTGACCTGCCTCTTGAGAAACCTGTATGCAGGTTAGGAAGCAACAGCTAAAACTAGACATGGAACAACAGACTGGTTCCAAATAGGAAAAGGAGTATGTCAAGGCTGTATATTGTCACCCTGCTTATTTAACTTATATGCAGAGTACATCATGAGAAATGCTGGGCTGGAGAAAGCACAAGCTGGAATCAAGATTGCTGGGAGAAATATCAATAACCTCAGATATGCAGATGACACCACCCTTATGGCAGAAAGTGAAAAAGAACTAAAGAGCCTCTTGATGAAAGTGAAAGAGGAGAGTGAAAAAGTTGGCTTAAAGCTCAACATTCAGAAAACTAAGATCATGGCATCCTGTCCCATCACTTCATGGGAAACAGATGGGGAAACAGTGGAAACAGTGTCAGACTTTATTTCAGGGGGCTCCAAAATCACTGCAGATGGTGACTGCAGCCCTGAGATCAAAAGATGCTTACTCCTTGGAAGGAAAGTTATGATCAACCTAGACAGCATATTAAAAAGCAGAGATATTACTTTGTCAACAAAGGTCCATCTAGTCAAGGCTATGGTTTTTCCAGTAGTCATGTATGGATGTGAGAGTTGGACTATAAAGAAAGCTGAGTGCTGAAGAATTGATGCTTTTGAACTGTGGTGTTGGAGAAGACTCTTGAGAGTCCCTTGGACTGCAAGGAGATCCAACCAGCCCATCCTAAAGGAGATCAGTCCTGGATGTTCATTGGAAGGACTGATGTTGAAGCTGAAACTCCAATACTTTGGCCACCTGATGCCAGGAGCTGACTCATTTGAAAAGACCCTGATGCTGGGGAAGATTGAGGGTGGGAGGAGAAGGGGACGACAGAGCATGAGATGGTTGGATGGCATTACCGACTCAATGGACATGAGTTTGGGTAAACTCCGGGAGTTGGTGATGGACAGGGAGGCCTGGCGTGCTGCGGTTCATGGGGTCACAAAGAGTCAGACACAACTGAGTGACTGAACTCAACTGAACTGACTATGTGAACCTTTGTCAGAAAAGTAATGTCTCTGCTTTCTAATATGCTATCTAGGCTTGCCAAAGCTTTCCTTCCAAGGAGCAAGCATCTTTTACTTACATGGCTGCAGTCACCATCTGCAGTTATTTTGGAGACAAGAAAAGAAAATCGGTCACTGCTTTTACTTTTTCCCCTTCTGTTTGCCATGAAGTGATGGGACCAAAGGCCATGATTTTAGTTGTTTGAATTTTGAGTTTCAAGCCAGCTTTTTCATTCTCCTCTTTCACTCTCATCAAGAGGCTCCTTACTTCCTCTTCACTTTCTGCCATTAGAGTGGTATCATCTGCATAGCTGAAGTTGTTGATAATTCTCCTGGCAACCTTGATTCTAGCCTGTGATTCATCCAGCCCAGCATTTTGCATGATGTACTCTGGTTAGAAGTTAAATAAGCAGGGTGACAATATATAGCCTTGCCTTACTCATTTCCCAATTTTGAACCAGTCAGCTGTTCCATGTCTGGTTTTAAATCTAACCGTTGACTTGCATATAGGTTTCTCAGGAGACAGGTAAGGTGGTCTGGTATTTTCAACTCTTTACGAATTCTCCACAATTTGTTGTGATCCATGCAGTAAAAGGCTTTAGCATAGTCAGTGAAGCAGAAGTAGATGTTTTTCTGGAATTCCCTTGCTTTGTCTATGATCCAACAAATGTTCGCAATTTGATCTCAAGTTCCTCTGCTTCTTTGAAACCCAGCTTGTACATCTGGAAGTTCTTTGTTCATGTACTGCTGAAGCCTAGCTTGAAGGATTTTGAGCATAATCTTGCTAGTGTGTGAAATGAATGCAATTGTATGATAGTTTGAATATTTTTTGTCATTGCCTTCCATAGGCTTTGGATTATAGTGGTTTCATTGTCATTTGTATCTAGGTATTTTTTTATTTCCTCTTTCAATCCTTTGATGATCCATTGTTTGTTTAGTAACATATTGTTCAAAGTCTCCACCTGTTTG